CGCAAACCCTGTGTTCAGCATGGGATTTCGGTTTTTTGAATGCCAAAAAACTAGCGAGGGAAAAGTAATTCGAGCAAACCCGCGGCCGCAATGAATTAAAAGGGGCGGGTTTCGAGAGGGGGAATTTCGTCTCACTGGAGAATCTGGGAGAATCTGCGGCTAGGCCGGTCGCTCCCCCGTCTTTGGGCCCTGTTGAGTCGTTTCGGAAGTTGAAGTTGGCGCATCACAAAGAACCCAAATCCAACCCTGCCAACCGAGCAAGCCCATGGGGGACGCGAGGTCTTGCTCCACCTTCTCGGCGCTCGCGTCGCCCAACCTGAGAGCCTCATCCGCCATGCCGGGGCACATCTTGACCGGAGCCGGTCACATGTCCATCGTGCCCAAGACGGGGCACGGTCGACTCGACCGCGGCCGATGGCACCGGCCCAACGGCCGACCAAGATTTTACGCCTCCGAACGCCGGGCCGGTGAGGTGGCGGGTCGGGCGACACGGAAAATCGGTGGCTGACAACGACTTTTTGAGGCCATCGGTTTGAGGTCTGCAGACATTTTCTGGATGATCTCGCATTTCCCGAGGCGTAATCGCAGATCCAGACGGCCCAGCAGGTGGGCGCTGCAGGCGAGCCGCCTCACATCCTTCGCCCCCCCCGTCGCTCACGCTGCCTCTGAAGCACCGGACCACCCCCCCCGCGCCCAGGCGGCCTAGCTGCCGCGGGCTCCACCCACGCGGGCCACCATCAGCGCCGCCCGACGGCTCAGAACCTCTCTCTTTAGGTCCCACAAAAGGCGGCGAGCGAGCGGCGAGGCAGATGAATCGAGCTCTGGACGCATGCCGCGAGAGCTGTGAGGGTCGCAGCTCGGCCTCCATCTTGCCCGGTAGTGGCGCGTCGGCTTGCCGGCTCACGGGGGTCACTGCCCCTAGGTGCCGCCTCACCTCGCCTCTATGCACCCTTCACCCTCTAGCGCCTCACCCTGCCCGGTGCCGTGGTAGTGGCGGTGTCAGCCATGCTGGACCGGCGGCAGCGAGGCCGA